AATTGAGCCTTTGAGATCGGTTCAGCTTCCCACTACACGATGGTCTTGTGATCAAGAATAATTATCACAAACCCCAGCTCCTTTGCACTGGCTCCCTGGCTTGTAAAAGGGAAGCTAAAGTGCAACGAAACATTTGAAAGCCAGTAGCAGATAATCCTGGTGTCCAGGCCCAGCATTTCCTACTTATGTGGAGATCATGAATGTTGGGGGCATCCCCCAAAACCTGAATAAGGTCCACGATCTCTGCCCTGGACCAGGAAGGCGCCCACCTTCTCTGAACCCTGGCAGGCTCCTGGGAGGTGGGAGACTGCTCCTGGGGCGTGGTGGAGGGCTGGCTGCCAGTGGCCTACTGGCTGGCTCTTGTTTTGGGGCCACTGGGTCGGGGCAGTGACTGCTGGCAGGCTGGGAGCTGGCACAGGCACTGTGGCCAGAGTCTACCCTTTTAAGGGCTCGGGGAGAGAGGATGTAGGCCCCCTATTTCGAATAAGTGTCTACACAGCACTTATTTAGAAATAACTATTTCCAATTTGGTGTCGTTCCTCATGGAATGAGGTTTACCAAATTCAAAATAAGCGCTCCTCTTTTTCAAATAGCGGCTTGGCTGTGTAGATGCTAGGAAAGTTATTTCGAAATAAGGGCTGTTATTTTGAAATAACTCTGCTGTGTAGACATACCCTGAGAGAATAATATAAACAAGGGTGTACATAGAGCTACAGCTGCCTGTTGTATTTATAGACCTGAATCTTCATCAGTCAGCAGTCTGTTTTCTTAGCCTCTGTGATTGGCACTGGGGATAACATGCTGGCATGCAGCCCAGCCTCAAGGACAATCTGATACACATGAGCATGCATGGCCTGTAATGCAATCAGGGGTTAACAATTTTAGCCAGTTGAATTGTACCATTAGTGCTCTGTCTTTTGAACTTGTATTTATAGACCTGAATCTTCATCAGTCAGCAGTCTGTTTTCTTAGCCTCTGTGATTGGCACTGGGGATAACATGCTGGCATGCAGCCCAGCCTCAAGGACAATCTGATACACATGAGCATGCATGGCCTGTAATGCAATCAGGGGTTAACAATTTTAGCCAGTTGAATTGTACCATTAGTGCTCTGTCTTTTGAACTGAAAGGA